CTAAATAACAATCTTTTCAGAGCTGGATGCTCACAATTCCAAACAGCTGCATTAGATGTAGTCGTTTGGGAAGGCATGTCACTTGACCCTTGACCCAAGGGCGGGGTCCTCCCGTTCCCAGGCTGGGTCACGCACTTCGCCCAGGTTATCCTCATTCCTGAGGAATGAAAAACAGCAGCGGTGTGTTGTGGTTACCATGGCACTGCTGGGTTGCTCTTTAACTTCCTGGTTTTCACACCATCACACAACTCATTTTACGTTTGTTGTTGTTGGTGTTTAGTCACTAAGTTGTGTCTGACTCTCTGTGACCCCATGGACTGTAGCTTACCAGGCTCCTCTGTCCATGGGATTCTCCAAGCAAGAATAGTGGAGCGGGTTGCCATCTCCTTCTCCAGGGGATCTTCCCTATCTAGGGATCGAACCCACGTCTCCTGCATTAGGCAAGCGGTTTCCTTACCACTGAGCCACCAGGGAAGCCCCGAGGTTCCCACGGCTACTCACAGATGAGCAAACAGGCCTTCCCACATCAGGGCCACATCACGGTGGGAATCTGCCTGTGTGCGATTTCCTGGCAGGTCATCAGCTTGCCCTTTTCCCTAGAAAACTACCTTTAAAAGTAAGGTTACCTTAATCTGAAATGTTTCATTAAAAGCAAATGAATTAGTGAAGAAATAGTTCTGATAGAAGAGAGGCTAATTATAAAGCCTTACATTTGGATGGTTCTTAATCATTTATAAACGTGACCTTGTGCATGCATGCGTGCTAAGTCGCTTCAGTCATGTCCGACCCTGCGACCTTATGGACTGTAGCCCACCAGGCTCCTCTGTCCGTGGGGATTCTCCAGGTGAGAATAGTGGAGTGGGTTGTCATGCCCTCCTCCAGGGGATCTTCCCCACCCAGGGATCGAACCTGTGTCTGCTGCACTATAGGCAGATTCTTTACTGCTGAGCCACCAGGGAAGCCCTGGGTTACCTTGTGCTCCTTTCTTTACATATCAGTTAATTGAGTCTCCAAAGAACATCTTGGCTTTTGGTAAATGAAGTCTCAACAGTGCTGTAATGTGAGACGAAACTACAGAACCCACTAAGAACACCTCTGGCTCAGCACAAGAAGTGGTGGGGAAGAGATACGGCACCATAGCAGCGGAGGAGCTGAGCAAGGGCAAGGCTCCCTGACCCGCCTCGATTTACCTATGTCCCAGTCTAGCCTACTCTCCCGACCTCAGTGCAGACATCATTTATTTGAGCAGGAGGTGGCAGAGTATGTACTTGACCTCAGACACCAAATATATTGAAATGGTGATGTCAGCCTGATTTCACAGGCTTTCAGGTGAGCCCAAAGCAAAGAACAGGAGAGAAACCTTGATCAAGGATGAACTTTCATCCAGAGGCAAAAAGGCTTTAGAGACACCCAGATCTGACTGGCTATCTTAGGCAGGTGCTGCTGCAGACTGCAAGCCACCCTGCCCACCGCCCCACACGCATGGGCACGCACAAACATTACCTGCCTCGGCTGGTTGACTTTCGCGCCTGAAGATAACAATAATCGAATCACATCCAAGTAACCCCCTTGGGCTGCTAGGAAGAGTGCAGTGGCTCCATCCTGAAAGTTGGCAAATGTAAAGTGTTGAGAAATTATTTATTTTAAAAGAAATTCGATCTTATAATACTGATACATATGTTTAACACAAGTTTCCATTTCCACCCCTCCCTTCCCCCTTTTTACTATGCATGGTATTTCATTCTTTGAAGACTAGCTCTAAAACATCACACTAAGTCAGGCTGAAAGGTAAAGCTGAAAACAGACAGCCGTATAAGGATGAGTTACAACATATGCAATGACTGTTCACGCTACAGAATCTTGGTCATGGAGTTTATGATACATCTAGTTGCAAAACTCTGGTTTTCCAAAGAGTCATCATTTTTCTCTGTCCACACAGCTTTCTCATTAGCCGCCTTCTGCTTTTGTTGCGTGATCTCAGAGTCCACTCTCTCTTATTTAGGATTAAAAAAAATACACACTTAATACAATTTTCCATTGCAATCCATTGGTCACTAAGAGCTAAGTTGTTCATTTAAAAAACAAAAACAAAGGGTTTCCCTGGTGGCTCAGTGGTAAAGAATTCGCCTGCCAACACAGGAGACATAGGTTTGATTCCTGATTCGGGAAGATCCCACATGCCTCGGGGCAGCTAAGCCCGTGTGCCTCAACTACTGAGGCTGTGCTCTAGAAAGCACATCGAAACACGAAAAATCTAAACTTTTTTAGAACATTAAAACTCTAAAAAAACCACACACACTCACAAATGCATGTTAATTAAAAAACAAGTAAACAACCAAATACCCCAAATCTATTTTGTGTGCTTTTATGAATCAGGTATGAACAGAATCCTTTTAATTTTTGTTTGTTGCTGTTCAGTCACTCAGTTGTGTCCGACTCTTTGCGACGCCATGGACTGTACCCCGCCAGGCTCCTTGTCCATCCAGAGTATGCCTGCCAGGTGCTCTCTCCACGCAGACAGCGCTCACAGGACAGAGCAAGCCTCATGACTTTCATATGCACAGTGGAAAACTAGTTCTCCCAGCTAATAACCACCCCTTCCGTCGGAACACTACCCACACGCTCATAGCACCTTCCCTGCAAGTCCAACCAGGTAGAGGGTGCTGGCTTTCCACTGGGTGTCAGCAGAGCAGTGAGGCCCCCCCAAGGCAATCATTAGGAAATTAATCAGCCTGGACAGATTTTAAAGCAGATGTTTGATACGGGGATACAATTTTCAGCTGTTCCTTACTGTGTTGCCACAGAAAGGCTTCTCTGACATAGTAGCGCTAACTCTTATGAATTTTTCAAAACGGATCTTCCCTGCATTCATTGGATTTTTTTTTTTTTTACCATGCATTACACAGTTCTGTTTTTCTAGAAGCTTTCAGGAATCATTGATGCCACTTCCCTTGCCCTGTATTTCAACTGTTGTTAATGGAAACATTTAATTTGGACTGTTCAGGTAAGGGTAGAAGTCTAAACATAAAATGGAAGTTCTGCAGCATGGAATTTTTAGGCTACCCTATCACAGAAGAGTTTAGAAACTCTGCATTTCTAGGCTTCCCTGGTAGCTCAGGCGGTAAAGCATCCTACCTACAGCGCGGGTAGACCTGGGTTCGATCCCTGGAGAAACTCTGCATTTCTAAAATTAAGTGCCGCCTCAATGAGCCTTATGGAAGAATGTTACCCAATAGTTCAAATTCTATGCTGTGCTATGTACTAGATTGCTTCAGTCATGTCCGACTCTTTGTGACCCTATGAACTGTAGCCCGCCAAGCTCCTCTGTCCATGGGATTCTCCAGGCAAGAAAACTGGAGTAGGCGGCCGTGACCTCCTCTAGAGAATCTCTCAACCCAGGGGTCATGAATTCTTTACCAGTGAGCCACTGGGGAAGCCTGGGTGGACTCAGGAAGTGAAATTTTTTAATACTCCCTGGGTGGTTCTCCTGTGCAGCCAGAGTTGAGAATCACTCCTTCAGACCATGGTCAAGTAGTTCAGTCATGGTACCAGGAATGCTATCGGCTCAAAGAGTGGGAGCAGGTTTTGAAGTGCCAAGGCTAAAGCTAGTTCCTCTGCACTTCAAAGAGGCCTGTGATCTGTCAGAGGTTCCGTGTAGACTCTGGAAAGGGTGTTCAAATGGAAAAGTTCACACCCACACATCTCATTACAGGGTTATGAAAGGCTAGTGCTCCTAAGCACAGGGTTCATGTCTGGTGGTACAATAGCCTCAAATACGGCTCCTAGATAAATGGAAGCAGGGATTCTTGCACTCCTCACCATAAGATTGTCCAGTCACTTCATCTCCCTATGTTTTACTTCTTCCTCCAAAACCAGAATAACATTTGCCATAAATTCTACAGAATTACAGCAACCAATAAGAGTACTTGGGCAATGTGCTAATTGCCAATTAGCTGCAAACAGACCCACATGGCAGTGGATAGAAACAGACCCATGCTGGCAGTAGATGCCTTTCAAGGTCAATGGCATGCACGTATTTCAGAGATCTTCCCCCATCCAGCCTCACTTCTCTTCCAAACAACTTGATTTTTCCTTTTTTGTGTGTGCTCTTCTTCCCAAAGAACTCTACAACAGGAGAGTTTATTTTGGTTTTCAGTAAGTCCATACACTGGGCTTGTTATAAAGAAATAGGTATCACATGATTTTTGAAGATCTTAGTTGTGTAGGTAGGTGAAATACTTCATATGTGCGAGAGACTTAAAAGAGCAAAGATAAATAAAGATTATGTGATTTCTACACAGAAAAGGCTCATCCAGTTAACTCTTTTATTTCCTTGATGGCTCAGATGCCACTTTCGGCATCAGAATTTAGACTGTGATGCTGTATGTGCTGAGGCAATGAGCAAGTGTCCCCTGAAAGCCCCCTTGAAACACACTCACGTAGAGCTGGTCGTGGATGTTGGCTCCGTGCTTTAGCAGGGTCTCCACCACCTGCATGTGCCCGTACTGACTGGCGGCCAGCAGGGCAGTGCCTCCATCCTGTGGTCACACAAAGAATAAACGCATTAGAAATAGGGCAGGCACAGATCTTACCAGGCAGATGCTCTTCGCATGGTGAGAATTTTGGAAAAGCATTTCCCATACATAATAACAAACTGACTTTTCCTCTTTGATCTTTTTTACTTTTTTCTTTATAATCGTGAGAGAGTTCATCTTTTGTTTTGTTTTGTTTTTTTCTGACTGCTCTAGGTCTTAGTTATGGCATGCAATATCTTTTTAGTGTGGCACTAGAACTCTTTTAGTTCCAGCATGTGGGATCTAGTTCCCTGACCAGGAATTGAACCTGGATTCCTTGCATTGGGAGTCTGGAGTCTTAGCCACTGGCCACCAGGGAAATCCCTAGAGTTGTCTTCAGGACATCACTATGTTGTATGCTCAGGTGACTTGCTTGAGATACATTACAGATATTTGACTAAGTTATTATAATTAATTTAGAAATTCCTCATGTCAAATGCAGAATCATCTCTTTGTCTCTCGATAAAGGAGACAAAGAACAGAAAGACTGTACCAACAGGTGTGTCTTGTTATTACCAGAATGGTAACTAGCTTCTTCCTGTGGGTCTGCCCAGTTGTAGGCCTCCGAGATTAAGGTGTATTTAGGGAGTCGCTCTCTGGGCCCCTGGCTTCTTGGACGAGATCTACATGCACTTAGAGCAGGGATACTACAGCATATTCCATATGCTTCGCATGCTCCTACTTTGCATTTTCCTTTGAACATATGCCAATCTGTCCAAATCTCTTAAAACGCAGATGCTAGGACTCTCAACAGAGCACTGCAAAGTAGATGTGGTCTGACGGGACATTCCTTGGTTCCATCAACTCTTGCTTTTATCTCTGCACCTAAATTAGAATTCACTTTGACGCCAACCACACCACACTACTGACTCAGAGTCTGTGGTCAACTGAAGCCCTTAATGGTTTTTCTCAGGTGCTGGGCTGAGGTTTTTTCTTTCTTCATCTAGGATTGCTGTGCTGTTTGTTTGGCTCTATGAATGGGTATTTGGACATTTGAGCTAATTATAAATAATGGAAGAAAGTGGAATCTGGTTTTGAAATGCAAATCATAAACAAGACAGCGTGGTTCCTAAACTTTGGGCATAGAGTGTTTATTCAAAATGCCTACTCTCGAAGCCACACCCTCAGATTCAGTAGATCTGGAGTGAGGCCCAGATACAGGCTTTCGACCAGTCATGAGAGGTGACTGTGAGATGCAGGTGATGGAGGGGTGGGGGATCCCCTGGAGAAACACTGCTATAGCTGCAAGATGCTGGAGGATGCACTCGGCTGAGTAAGGTTTCAGCGAGGGATGGGCTATGTGGTGGGAAAGAGAGGCATTTTGAAGGGTAGGAAATGAAGGAGAGAGATTGGAAGGCTGAGGTCAGTGGAGATGGGCGTGGCGTGGGGTGGCTGGGCATCAAGAAATTGGTTAATAATAGCAGTGAGCACCAACATTTCCACGTTATGTTGTGTCAATCTGCCCAGTTCCTTGTCTGGGTTTAGAGAATAGATAAAACATGGTGATTGTTATAGAAGAGCTGATACCTTTTGTTTAGAAAAAACACATTTGGGGGGACATAGGGCTTCTCAGGTGGCACCAGCAGTAAAGAACCTGCCTGCCAATGAAGGAGACATAAGAGACGCAGGTTTGATCCCTGGGTTGGCCAGATCCCCTGGGGAAGAAAATGGCAACCCACTCTAGTATTCTTGCCTGGCAAATCCCATGGACCGAGGTGCCTGGCAGGCTACAGTCCATGGGGTCGCAAAGAGTCAGACTCAACTGAAATGACTTAGCATGCACGCAAGTTTAATTACAATGAGAACAGTTGTTGACACAAAGTCAATTTTGGATGACAGGACTGTATTAAAACCCAAAGCTTCCCAACACTGTCTTCTTCCCAGAGAAAGCTCTTGGCCACCTGCAGCTGTCCCAATGGAAATATGTGGAGTTGCTCGCCCTGGGCCTGTGTTCCGTGGATTTCCAGGGTAGCACAGTCTGGCTCATGCACAAAGGCCAGCCCTAACTTGTTACCCAGGAAGAATGAAGCATCTGGTCACACACAGTCAATTGACTTAGTTGAGAATTGAGTCTGAGATTTGTATAACTTCCACTTTTTATTTTTAGTTGTGTCACTTTTATAATTAAAAATTAAATGATAATTAACATAAAGAGTATGAACACATGTGTTTTGGATTACTGTATATTATACTCAGCATGTCTAGGGGCATGTATACAATCTGACTGTAGGTTTTAGAAAAGACAGAAACCCTTTCTGAAATTCAGATCTACTTCATAGTGTTTTAACAGGAAAAAAACCCCATTGGAAACTCCCTTGATATCAACATATCACACATAATGAATTAAGAAAACCTAAAAGTTTCCAACTAGGGCAAATTTTCAAGAATTTTTTATGACTGGGCTAGACAGAAGTTTTCAATTATAAAAATGTGACAGTTCAAATTCTTCAGCTACAAAATATTATCAAGAAAAATCATATTGTGAAGATAAATGGATCTTTCTGCAGCCTCAGTTTTCTTAGTCACATGTCAAATGTGAAGAATCAATGACTTCTTTAAGGAAGAATCGTAATTCCTCGCTCAAACATATGAACTGTAATCATATGTTATATATCTCAGTGGCGACATCTCAGAAAGTAAACTGCCTGCCAAAGCCTCCTTAGAAATCTCTCAAGATTCACTAGGATTGGCTTAATATTTCCAGTAATTCCTATCACAGCACTGGGATTAACCCTGAAGCAGAAAAAAGCAGAAGAGAACAGGAAAAGTCATAAAGCACCTACTACTGTATCCATTGTGATAACAAAATGTACTGTCCCAGAGTAGAAAGTTACCAATACAAGAAAGAAAGTAAGCTGCAAACCCTCCAACCCCACCCACCCACCAAATTCTCCAATTGTTAGCCCAGGGTAAAAAATGTCATGTTTTGAATTGAATTCCTAGGACTACCCCTGAATCATTACAACCTAACCTTGTGAAACCCAACTTCTTAGCTTGTAAATCTTGTAAATAGCATAGCAAACATTCATACTATAAATGAAGAGAAATGAATACTCATAACTGCTGAAATTCTTCAGTAGAGTATAAAATCAAGAAAATTCTCTTACTTTGGTCCTAAATTCAGTGGATGCTCCAAATTCAAAGAGAAATCGGACGACATTATTATGTCCTTGTTGGGCAGCAAAGAAAAGGGCGGTTGTACCTGACTGCGAGAGAGAGAGAGAGAGAGAGAGAGAGAGAGAGGCTGGTTTTAAAGATATTTGCTTACATTTCATTTGACTGATATGATTGCAAACAAAACAAAACAAAATCCTTACATACAAACCCCTAGCCTGAAGGGACTACATTTCAACAGACTATTCCTTGCTCAGGTTAAGTGACCAGGGTAGAGAATGCTGGGTTCCAGAAACCTTAAGATGTAACAAGGTCTGGATGAGAAAACTGGGCTAGAATGGGAAAACTCTTTTTTTGTTTTTGCCTGTACTGCATGGCTTGCAGGATCTTATTAGTTCCCTGACCAGGGACTGAACTCATGCCCCTTGCAGTAGACGTGTGGCGTCCTAACCATTGGACCACCAGGGAATTTCCTCCTCCTCATTTTTTATTTAAATGATTTTATTTATTTTTGGCTGAGCTGAGGTTTCATTGCTGTGTGGACTTTTCTCTATTTTCAGCGAGCAGGGGTCACTCATTAGTTGCAATGCATGGGCTTCTCATTGCAGTGACCTCTCTTGTAGAGCATGGGCCCTAGGCATGTGGGATTCAGTAGCTGCAGCTCTTGGGTTCAGTAGTTGCAGCTCCTGGGCTCTAAAGCACAGGCTCAATAGTTGTGGGGCACAGGCTTAGTTTTTTGAGGCATGTGAGATCTTCCCAGATCAGGGATTAAACCTGGATCTCCTGCACCAGCAAGCAGATTTTTTACCACTGAGCCACAGGGAAGCCCCCTCAGCTTCTTAATAGTCATGAATCTTAAAGACTACCAAAGTGTGCAATTCTATGTGTCTAGATAGACAAAGAAAATAATGGCAGTACTTCTTTAGGAGACAAATATTCTGGTAGTGCAGAACAGATTACAAACGAACCAAGGAAGAAGTCTGCTCGGAGTGTCAGTTCCACAGCACTGCCAGGCACTCTCTTCCAGCATCCAAAACATGCAGGGTGAGGTAAGGGCCTCTCTTTGGCTAGTTTTCCAGACTGGCCTGGCTCAGGGAATTCGGGGGATCATCCTTTCTGAAAGAACTACAGGGCAGGACCTCCAATAAGAGTGGATCAAGGAGAACCAAGCACTCCTGTCTCATCTGGAGCTTGCTCATGGATGCCCATCTGAGGTCTGAGTTTCCGTGGACTGAGGTCACGTTCACTCTAGGCGTGACCTTGGATGTGACTCCACAAAGGTGAACTCACCAGGCCCTGGACTGGTCTGGAAATATCCGCAGCCTCCCTGGGCCTGAATGCCCAGCCTTCCACTGCTCCTCTGCATCGGACCAAGAATGGATCCTCCGGCCAATTGGGACTCCCTTGAATGAATGTGCAAACAGGCTCCCATTTCAGTCTAATATTCACCATGTGGTGGTATTTTGGGGGGAGAACCTATTTAACACACAGCTGGTCAGAGAAGCTCTCTGCAGACACGGTTTGGTGAGGATGGCTGAGGTAGGCTAGCAAGTGAGCCTCCCTAACAATAGGTGGGTGACCTGATCCTTCTAAAATATAATGATCTCTATGAAAATCCTATACATTCTACAACATCTCATCCCAAGGGAAGAAGGAAGAACTGATTTAGGCTCAGGGTGAACCATATGAATGTTTAAGGAGGTTTGGTTACGTCAGGTACAACAAGGACCTGAGAAGTTTTGTTCAATTAAAGTACAACCAATGGTCCCTTCCTGGGCCTTCTTTAGACACAACATGGTCTGCAACCTGGGCTTACTGTTACATAGGAAAAAAGCAATGATTAGAGTCATCCTTCAGTATCGGTAAGTTCTGCATTTGTGGATTCAATGAACCACAGAAAAAAAATTGAAAAAATTCCAGAAAGTTCTAACTTTTTTCCCATGCACCAGCAACTATTTACATAACTGGGCTTCATAGGTGGCTCAGTGGGTAATGAATGCAGGAAAGCAGGAGACATGGGTTTAATCTCTGGGTCGGGAAGATCCCTTGGAGGAGGGCATGGCAACCCACTCCAGTATTCTTGCTCGGAGAATCCCAGGGACAGAGGAGCCTCGTGGGCTACAGTCCATAGGGTTGCAAAGAGTTGGACATGACTGAAGCAACCGAGCATAGGTATTAAAAGTAACCTAGAGATGTTAGAAGCATATGGGAAGATGTGTGTAGTTACATGCAAATATTATGCTACTTTTATATAAAGGACTTGAGCATCAGTGGCTTCTGGTATCCACAGGATGGGGGGTGTCATGGAACTAATTCCCCCCACCCAGATTTGTTGGGACGGCTGTACTCTAGTCCTTGTTCAATAACTAAGCTGTGTCCAACCCTTTTCCACCCCATGGACTGCGGCACACCAGGCTCCTCTGTCCTCCACTATGTCCCAGAGTTTGCTTGAATTCATGTCTCAAAGGACTCAATAGTCCTTCTTAGCAACTCACTACTGTGTAAACTTCACAGCTCTGTCACCAGCATTACTATTATTCACGTGCCAACCTGACCTACCTCTCTCTGGAGATTGATGTCCGCTCCCTGCAGGACAAGCTCCTTCACACAGTCTATGTGGCCAGCATAGGAGGCGACCATGAGGAGTGTGGTCCCATGCTGGGGGAGGAGAGACACGTGAGCAGTTAGGCCACCGTGATGTCAGAGAGGCACCCGGAGAAGAGGCTGCCAAGGTCAGCTCCTCCCAGGACATGGCTGAGCTGAACGCAACAGCTCCCGCAGTAAAGAAAACTGCCTCATGAATAATCTTATAAAGCAGATGATGCAGGAGAAAGCAAAATGACAAACTGCTGAGGCTGGAGTTTTCAATTTAAACATTCGCTTACTTCCATTACCATCAGAAACACAGTCCAAGTGAACCATAGCTACTGTATTTTGAGGCAGCAGCAATGGAATGGCCTTATTTTATGACTCCTATTAAATGATTCCTGAGCCAAAACACCATTATTAATGCAAAAAGGTGGGCTGAGTGACACTAGTCGGTTTTCTGAGCTTAGAATTCTTTGTCTTCAAACTGATTCAGGTAAAGATGCAATGAGAGGCTACAGAAGTGAGAGTCGGGAGCCCCGGGGGCCACTAGCACACAGAGGCACACTGCTCACACTTCCCGGGGCTCATTTACTGCATCTTTAAAATGAGGAATTGGATGAGATGACTGCCAAGGTCTTCACTACCGTTAGATTCCAGGACCTGGGGCTTCCCTCGTGGTCCAGTGGTAAAGAATCTGCCTGCCAATGCAGGAGACACAGATTGGATCCCTGATCTTGGAGAATCCCACATGCCGCAGAGCAACTAAGACCGTTTGCCACAACTACTGAGACTACTCTAGAGCCCCGGAGCCGCAACTACTGGGCCCACATGCTGCAGCTACTGAAGCCTATGTGTCCTAGGGCCTGTGCTCCGCAACAAGGGAAGCCACAAAATGAGAAGCCTGCACACAGCAACTAGAGAGTAACTCCTGCTCTCTGCAAAAAGAGAAAAGCCCACACAGCAATGAAGACCTAGCACAGCCAAAAATGCATAAATAAAATAAATAAATAACTTTAAAAATGATTCAAGGACTTGAATAACTAATGAGAACCTACTGTATAGCACAAGGAACTCTACTCAATGCTCTATGGTGACTTAAAAGGGAAGGAAATCCAAAAAAAGAGGGGATACATGTATATGTATAGCTGATTCATTTTGCTGTATCGCAGAAACACAACATTGTAAACCAACTATACTCCAATTACAATTAATTAAAAAAAAAGAAAAATTTTCTATTGTGGGCACATTGGCCTCAAAATACAAATCAATCATGAGCTAGAGGAAGCACAGAGCACTTAACTTGGACATTTCACAAAGAAAATTTTAAATGTCAGGCTTTATCTATATTAAAGTAAGGGAAGATGAATGAAACAAATTACCCCAAAATGCTTCCTTATGGATTCCATTTCACTTCTATAACATGGGCAACTGAGAAAAAGTCAGAGGTTGGGACAAAGAAGAAAGAGAATGAAGAAGCGGGATCTGTGGATGTAGGAAGGGACACAGAGCTGGAAGTCAGGGGTGTCTGGAAAGGGGTGACTTTAAGAAAAAGGAGTAAGTGGTCATCAACATGGTCAGTGGGTGAGACTACAATGAACTCGGGTGTTCCCACTCCGGAACTGTACAGTACGGCACTGCTGCCCAGAAATCCCCAGTAAGACCAGACAACCAGTTCACAGATGCCCAAGACCCCGTATCAGTCTGGGTCCTGGCAAAGAACAGACGGTACATTCAAACTGGGATAATTGGAAAGCAAGCATAATAAAGAGACTATTTATAAAGCTATGCTCTGGATGTAGGGAAACCACAAAGAAGAGGACTGACAGGGAGGGACGGTGGGGCTTCGATACCAGCCCAGGCCCCAAAGCACGAGAAGCAGGTGGTGGCTCCCTGGACAGACAGGGTGAGGGTGTTGCTGCCAGTCAGGATGGGGGGCTGGACTCCCCAATATTTCTGTCCTCCCAGCCTCTGATTCCCGCCAGGGCTCCCACTGGCCAAACCCTACTGGAGGTCGGAGGAAAGCGAGTGCCTGAGGGCAAGCCAGAGAGCTCTGACTCTGGGACACAGAGCAAGTGGGGAGGAAGTTACACGTAGGTCCAGAGAAGCACCCTGAGCTGTCCTGTGCCAATGCCCCGGGGGGCAAAGGGGAGCAAACTTTGATACCTCACTAGGGCTGGTGGCTGATATCACCTACCAAATTTGTGTAATAAAAGCTGGAAATGGCACAGCCTGTTTTCAGGAAAACAAGAAGGCTCCTGTGAAAACATTTCTATTTAATCCCTAAAATCAAAACATCTCCTTTCTCTCCTCATCTGAGGTCCTCTTAGTCCCCAGAGACGTGAAGTCCTGCTGAGAACAGAGATGACTGCCTCTGGCTGGGGAGGGAAGGACTCCGAAAGTGATGCTGCCAGTGGGTGGGAGGACATGCTTTAATTTAGTTCCCCGCCATCACTGATAAGTGAATTGATGTTTGCAAAGGTAGAAGGAAATGAGGTTGGGTGGGGGGCTTCCATCTCTCAGCAGAAAAACTCCCAACTCCTCCATCCATGGCAGCCTCCTGAATCACCCCGCGCCCCTTTTCTTCTTGGACTTGGCCAATTCTGATTTCCCAGTGACCTGTCTCTTCCCCTACTATGGCCCCTCCTGTCTGATGCAGATAATGGTTTCCTGGATATGTTTCCCCACGGTACTCTGCATAAGTCTGAGCAAACTCCAGGAGAGATAGCGAAGGACAGGGAAGCCTGCCATGCTGCAGTCCATGGGGTCACAAAGAGTTGGACATGACTTAGCAACTGAACAATAACAGTGGTGCTTTGGACTTTTTGAAAAGGATGAGGCAAGCAAACACATGGTAAGGGGGACAAGCGCAGGGAAAAGGGGACAAGCACTGTGAAGGGCAGGGTATTCAGCAGGCGCTCTCATGCCAGCAGGGGACAGCCAGCTCCTGGCATGTGGGTACCAAATAGACCGGTCCGTACACTGTCCCTACAGTCCACGTCCACGCGGCCGCTGTTCAGTAGCAGGCGGAGCAGAGTCAGGTTGCCCCTCCTCGCTGCCCAGAATGCCGCATTGGCAAGCGGGGTTTCCTTCTGCAGAAGCAAAATGAAACAGAATCTTTAAAATTGACTTTCATTAATGTGACCACTGCTATGTAAACATGTGCTGCCATTCAAAATGGAGAGTTTCCAGATGTGTCTGATCACTGGAAGGCGTGCTCCTCCCGCAGCGGGCCATCGTTGTATACGATGTATACTTGGCTATGGGATGCGGGTAACCCGAGCCCTGGGGCTGTGGCAGAGAGCAGGGTTGTTGATCACACAGCATTATTAATATTCTCCATTTCCCACCAATGTCCTCACTTTCCTGCCTCTGTGTCTTTGTTCAGTTTCCTTTTTGCTTGAAAGAATTCTCCCCAATCCTTCAAGGCCAAGGTTCTGCTTAACTGCGATTTCTTCTCTGCCATGTTCCCAAATGTCTCTTATCTCTAAGCGGAGGGGAATCACCCCCAATTCTGAGTTTACCAGCATCTTTTCTGTGGCTCAGATGGTAAAGAATCCTCCTGTAATGTAGGAGACCTGGGTTCAATCCCTGGGTTAGGAAGATCCCCTAGAGAAGGGAATGGCTATCCACTCCAGTATTCTTGCCTGGAAACTCCCATGGACAGAGGAGCCTGGTGTTTGCAGCCCATGGGGTTGCAAAGAGATGAATATGACTGAGCGAGCGACAAACTAACTTTCTGTGCTGTCAATGCTTTCTGCTCAATTCCAGCCGCCTGGGTAAACGCCTCGCTCTCCCTCTACCAAAGTTTCTTTGATTCAGCTGGAACTCGCCAGAGGTTTCGGTTGAGAACAAAGAACTCTGGGCAGGAAATGTTGCTATGCAACCTCAGGTGGATCCTTCAGCTCCAGTGTGGGGTCATTTTAAAGTTGCTAAGTTAACCCTGAAACCATGACTATGGAAGGAACAGAGCTGGAGAACAGTTCTCCAGAATCAGAGTGGCAGAGCTGACTGAAGCACCACCTCCTTCTCTAAAATGCACTGATTTAGATTTGCAGAGAAAAGTCCATGGTGGGGGCGGAAGGACAGGCAGAACCAGATAGCTCTGGGCTTCAAGTCTGGGTTTGGACAATGGACTGGCCCTGATAAGTCCTGGTTTTCCCTTGCTTAGATGGAGATCACATGACATGCCCTGAACTTTATGGTAAAATTAAATGACGTAGATTAAGGTAGGCTCAAGATGGAGGGGATATATTAATATGTACCCTTATAGCTGATTTATGCTGTTGTACACCAGAAACTAACATATAACTGTAAAGCTATTATACTACAACTAAAAGATAGAAGTAAATTTAAAAATTGATGTAGGTTAATTGGCTAATACCATATCTGGCATGTTATATGTGCCTATAAACACTAGTTTCCTTCCTTTTGTCCACTTTCTTTACAAAGTTAGAACCAACAGGCAAAATTAAAATCAGAGTATTGCTACTAATGACGAATTCACAGGAAATTTTTTAGTATTCAAATTAACAGAAATACTTTTTTTCGGTAGGCTTAAAGCACTCATCTCAGGGCTTCCCTGGTGGCTCAGATGGTGAAGAATCCTCCTGCAATGCAGGCAGACCTGGGTTTGATCCCTGGGTCAGGAAGAGTCCCTGGAGAAGGGAAAGGCTATCCACTCCAGTATTCTTGCCTGGAGAATTCCATGGACAGAGGAGCCTGGTGGGCTATATAGCCCATGGGATCATAAAGAGTCGGACATGACTGAGCGACTAACACTTTCTATCTTCAAAGCACCCCTCTGACCCAGAGAGTCTTATCTGCAATACATCTTCTAGGAATATTGATACATTTTTACATACAGACCTAGTGAAAAGTGAAAGTGAAAGTTGCTCAGTTGTGTCCGACTCTTTGCGACCTCATGAACTATACAGTCCATGGAATTCTCCAGGTCAGAATGCTGGCGTGGGTAGCCTTTCCCTTCTCTAGGGGATCTTCCCAACCCGGGGTTTGAACCGAGGTCTCCCTCATTGCAGGCGGATTCTTTACCAGCTGAGCCACAAGGGTAGCCCAAGAATACTAGATTCCCTTCTCCAGCTGATCTTCCCGACCCAGGATTGAACCGGGGTGTCCTGCGTTGCCGGCGGATTCTTTACCAACTGAACTATGAGGGAAGCCCTAACAGTACCCAACTCACCATCAATAGTTAAAAAGCAGACACCAACAGTTTTGGCTGCTCCAAGGAGCCAACACAGGGAAAGTCCAGGGGTGGCAGAGGGGTGGCAGCATCTGGGGTGGGAGGATTTCACTTGAGAAGCCCTTCAGCACGTACCCAACTTAGCGTTCTTGTGCATTCTTGGATGAGAGTGTGGAGAAGCAGGGAGTGATAAGCAGATTACAAACATACTTGCAATGCTTTCCGGGCTCTTTAGGAGGGAAAAAAAATTCACCTTAAATTGCAGGTGAACCATTTGATTCCCCTGAAGGTGTAAACTGTACTGTCTCAGTTTTCACACCGAGTGTCTGTGGCTTTTACACCAGGCTGGGGCTGATGTTACAGTTGTGACTGCGAGAAGCTGCGGCAGGCGGGTTTGACTTGTATATAAATCGTGAAACAATGCCCCTTTAATAAGAAACACTGCACAAAGTATGGGAGGGTGAATCAGGAAGAGAATTTAATATGCACCATGGAAACAGCTAGGCTCAAGATGGAGGGGATATATTAATATGTACCCTTATAGCTGATTTATGCTGTTGTACACCAGAAACTAACATATAACTGTAAAGCTATTATACTACAACTAAAAGATAGAAGTAAATTTAAAAATTGATGTAGGTTAATTGGCTAATACCATATCTGGCATGTTATATGTGCCTATAAACACTAGTTTCCTTCCTTTTGTCCACTTTCTTTACAAAGTTAGAACCAACAGGCAAAATTAAAATCAGAGTATTGCTACTAATGACGAATTCACAGGAAATTTTTTAGTATTCAAATTAACAGAAATACTTTTTTTTGGTAGGCTTAAAGCACTCATCTCAGGGCTTCCCTGGTGGCTCAGATGGTGAAGAATCCTCCTGCAATGCAGGCAGACCTGGGTTTGATCCCTGGGTCAGGAAGAGTCCCTGGAGAAGGGAAAGGCTATCCACTCCAGTATTCTTGCCTGGAGAATTCCATGGACAGAGGAGCCTGGTGGGCTATATAGCCCATGGGATCACAAAGAGTCGGACATGACTGAGCGACTAACACTTTCTATCTTCAAAGCACCCCTCTGACCCAGAGAGTCTTATCTGCAATACATCTTCTAGGAATATTGATACATTTTTACATACAGACCTAGTGGAAAGTGAAAGTGAAAGTTGCTCAGTTGTGTCCGACTCTTTGCGACCTCATGAACTATACAGTCCATGGAATTCTCCAGGTCAGAATGCTGGCGTGGGTAGCCTTTCCCTTCTCTAGGGGATCTTCCCAACCCGGGGTTTGAACCGAGGTCTCCCTCATTGCAGGCGGATTCTTTACCAGCTGAGCCACAAGGGTAGCCCAAGAATACTAGATTCCCTTCTCCAGCTGATCTTCCCGACCCAGGATTGAACCGGGGTGTCCTGCGTTGCCGGCGGATTCTTTACCAACTGAACTATGAGGGAAGCCCTAACAGTACCCAACTCACCATCAATAGTTAAAAAGCAGACACCAACAGTTTTGGCTGCTCCAAGGAGCCAACACAGGGAAAGTCCAGGGGTGGCAGAGGGGTGGCAGCATCTGGGGTGGGAGGATTTCACTTGAGAAGCCCTTCAGCACGTACCCAACTTAGCGTTCTTGTGCATTCTTGGATGAGAGTGTGGAGAAGCAGGGAGTGATAAGCAGATTACAAACATACTTGCAATGCTTTCCGGGCTCTTTAGGAGGGAAAAAAAATTCACCTTAAATTGCAGGTGAACCATTTGATTCCCCTGAAGGTGTAAACTGTACTGTCTCAGTTTTCACACCGAGTGTCTGTGGCTTTTACATCAGGCTGGGGCTGATGTTACAGTTGTGACTGCGAGAAGCTGCGGCAGGCGGGTTTGACTTGTATATAAATCGTGAAACAATGCCCCTTTAATAAGAAACACTGCACAAAGTATGGGAGGGTGAATCAGGAAGAGAATTTAATATGCACCATGGAAACAGCTCTGCTGGCTTTTCCGGAAACACGAGAACTTGAGAGAAGTTAATTGTAAATCATTTTCCGTGATTCTGTTTCACTTTAACCCCACAGGCCTTTCAAAAACCATCTGTAAACCACAAGCTTCTATTGTCATAACAAGCTCTCCAGTCAGGAGCCTCTCCTGCCTTTAGAATGGCCTCGGGGATTCCTCTCCTGCACAGGCTAGACATCCCCATTTCATAAAAGGCTCCGGAAACTGAGCTTTGGGAAAAGGTGTAAATCTTCCATTTTCCCTCAAGGGCTTGATTGACTGGCAGGTGGAGGCATGAGAAAGTTGTTGATTTGGGATAAGAGAGAGCCGAGTTCAAGTCCTGACCCTGCTGCGTCCCTGTTCTGTGACCTTGGGGGGGTTATTTAAGTTCTCTCTGCCCCAGGAAAGTGAGAATAGTATTAATAGTGCTAATATAGGCAATATCCTTGGGGGACTGGTTCCAGGACTGCCTGTAGATACCAAAATCTGTGGATGTTCAAGTCTCTTATATAAATTGGCACAGTATTTGCATATAAGCTATTTGCATATAACCTACACATACCTTCTCATATACTTTAAATCATCTGAGGGTTACTTATGATACCTTACACAATGTAAGTGCTATGTAAATAGTTGCCAGGGCAGGGCAAATTCAAGCTCTCTTGCTTGGAACTTTCTGAAATTTTCTGAATACTTTTGGTCTGTGGTTGAACCCACAGATGCAGAACCAGCAGACACAGAGGGTCAACTGTGCCTCTGTCACGGGTTGTTAGAGGATAAATGAGGTAATATGTGCAAATGCACTTCGATAGTAAACACTCAAGAAATGTGAGCTCTAAAAGCACAGTCCTCCTGTGCTTAGTCACTCGGTCGTGTCTGACTCTTCGTGACCTTGTGGACTGTAGCCCACCAGGCTCCACTGTCCATGGGACTCTCCAGGCAAGACTGGAGTGGGTTGCCATGCCCTCCTCCAGGGGATCTTCCACACCCAGGGATCGAACCTGTGTCTCTTATGTTTCCTGCACTGACAGGTGAGTTCTTTACCACCAGCGCCACCTAGGAAGGCCAAGCTACTTCTTACCAAATGCTTATTCCATACCACTGGCACATCCTCTGCAACACAGCTCAGTGAAGTGGGAACATTACTATCCTACTGCTCCGATGACATAAGTGAGAACAAGGCAGGCTGCAGCCCCAGGCAGTCTGGAGCTCGAGGCTAGGCTTTCAGCCATCCTCCTGCCTGCCTCCTGCAGAAGTCTCCTCCTGAGACAGCAAGAAACAAGCAGT